GAGCTGAGAGTTCTATATCTTCATGTGAAAGCTGCTAGCAGAATATTGGCTTTCAGGCAGCTAGTATGAGAGTCTTAAAGCCCACACCCAGTGACACACCTACTCCAACAAGGCCACACCTCCTAATAGTGCCGCTCCCTGGGCCTAGCATTTACAAACCATAACAAGGAGCTTGAGGCAGCTGATTACTTCCAGTGTTTCCAGGAAACAGCAATGAATGAACGCTGCTTAGCTTTCTTTCTCCACTTACCTAGTCCAGGATCTCCTGCCCCCAAAGTGGTTCCATCCATAAGTAAGGTCCATCTTCCCACATTACTTAACAGAGTCCCTCATAGGCATTCTCAGAAGCTAGCCTTAGTCTAGATACTGCTGCCACAGCACAGGTATGCTAGGAGGCTTGCCTCTGGGTGCTTTTAGATCCTGTCCAGTTGACAATAGCAGCTGTCACAAATGAAATGCCTGGAAAAGGCTGAGTCGGTCCCACCTCCCTTGCAAGGAGATGGCTGGGAAGTTGAGGAGCCCGCTCCCTTTCCCTCTTTGGATGATTCAACTTCTCGCCCGAGGTCTGTAGTGAGGCCATCACAACCTGGAGCTTTAGTTCTGTGTGCTCGGGGACTGAGGGGGGGGGGCTTACGTAGGCAACTAGTCTACTTCTGAGTTATGCCTACCCCAACTCCTTCAGCTTCAGGGCTGGGCTAACCTTTTCAAGCTTTGGCAGGTCAGGGACCTTATCCTTCTGGGTGGGGGGTCTCTTAATATCAAGACTGGGCTAGGATGACAGGGTCAGGGCTCTGTCTTGCTCTCTTGTTGTCTTACTGTCTTTTTTTTTTTTTGCTTTTTGTTTGTTTGTTTGTTTGTTTGTTTGTTTTTCGAGACAGAGTTTCTCTGTGTAGCCCTGGCTGTCCTGGAACTCACTCTGTAGACCAGGCTGGCCTTGAACTCAGAGATCCGCTTGCCTCTGCCTCCCAAGTGCTGGGATTAAAGGTGTGCGCCACCACCGCCCGGCGTTGTCTTACTGTCTTACTGGCTTTCTGTCACCTCCCTTTCTGACCCTGGACTCTCTTTAGGTGACACAACGGATCTCCACAGCCCCTGCTGGCCCCAGTTATCATACTAGTCTAAGCTGCTCATGCGAAACACATCTCTGTAGGTGAGGCCCCAGTCCCACTTTCTTTGGGGCCTACTTTGATCTAAGCTTAAAGTCTGCACTGTTCAACAGTAGAATCCCTAAGGAGGTGGAGGTGCCCACTGTCCTGCCTGGACTTCCTGCTTTTATCTCCTGCTCTGACATTCACTCTTTTTGCCTGCCCGGAACCTACCCTGAAGTGACTACCCAAGTTTCCCATGACACCCTTCTTGTGTTTTCAGCCTCTCTGTTTCAGGGGTGGGTGTCATGTGCTCCTCACTCCCATCGTTTACATGCTTAGGAGGGTTCTAGATCTTCAGCAGACATGAACTGTTGATGCAGAACCCAATGGTTCTCCAGCTGATTAGCACTGGAGTGGAAAAGAAAGAACTGGCTAGTCACTGGAGTTGGTGCTGGTGCCAGGCTGGGGGGAGGGGCAGCCATGGCAGTACCCAGCTGGCTGCAACAAAACTGAAGGGAAGAGCCTGTCAGACTGCTGTGCCTCAGCTAGGGGCCTAACCCCTTGGAAGAAGGCAGGACCCAAAGTTACCTTAAATGAGCCTTAGTAGAATTGGGGTGACAGCTGGGTAGAGAGCTGCACAGAGAGAGGAACAGTGGTAAAGGCTACCTCCAGAGACTCGAGTGACTCTGTCTGGAGTCAGTAGGATCATGCATGGCCAGCCTCAGAGAGCCTCCACTGTGAGATGAAAGTGAGACCTAGGGCAGATTGTTCAGCTTGCTCTCCGACCAGGACGCCAGAGGAGTTTAGCTCTAGGGCAGGAAGCCAGTCCAGAAGTGAGTCTGGGCAGAGAAGGGAGAAAACTCCATAGAATGGGGCAGGGAGGGGGGATAGGCTTCTGAGTGAGGTAAGCGCTTAAGCCCAGGAGGTAAGGAAGTCCCACGAGAGATGTGGAGCTGTCCAGGAATGTGCCTCCTCTGATGCTCACAGACCACTAAGTCACCTTCTCCCGAGTCCTGAATTGCAGGTCTCTATAGGCACCCACTCCTGTGCCCCGGGCTGCCCGTCCAGCCTACCCCAGCTGAGGGAGAAGCACTTGGCAGAGGGAACCCATGTCCTTGTCCTCATGTTTTTCAACTTTCAGCCAAAAGATCAATAACTTTGCCTAAGTGTCTTTGAACCTCTAGGTCCCTGTGACCACAGTGGGAGAGAAGAAAGGGTTGGGGAGGAGCTGGAAGGACTTAGATTCCCGAGGAGGGAGATTGTTGTTGATGATTTATTAGCCAGACAAGAACCAACAAACAAATTCTAACATCTGTTCTCACCAAACCATTCTTCAGACAACAGCAGCAATTGGACCAGGGCCCAGATGCGAAGGCTCAGAGGGCCAAGGCTTCCTAAAGTCCAGCTTCTTAGGAGGAAAAACCAGGGCACAGGAGGGAGGATGGCTTCCCTAGTACATACAGTTCCTTGCCTTGGTTCCTAACCACTCTCAGAAGGGAGCATTGTGTGTATATGTGCGTGTGCATGTGTATTTATGTGTGTATATGTGTGTATGTATGTGTGTATGCGTGCATGTGTATGTGTGTGTGTTTCGCTCTGAAGAAGCAGATCCCACATTTGTTCCTCTGCCCTCCAGGCTGCTTTGGAGCAAGGCAGGCAGACTTGTTAAGGGGACAGGGAAAGCTGGATGCAGGGAGGTCCCAGTGCAGAACTCTGGAAAGCAACCAGCTTCTTAGCTGAGGAAATCTCTCTGTCCCTTGTGGAGAAGAGAGGATTCAGAGTATGGAGAGGGAACACTGAACAAGGACTGTAATTCTTGACCTTGGTCCGGACATTCTCCTTCTCTAGCTCGTTTCATTATTTGCATAATGAGAAAACTGGACTTAACTGATAGGGAGAAAGAAACGCGGCTCATCCTTCCCGCACCCACGGCAGCCGCCGCTCATCCGTCACCCTGCTCTTTTCTGCTGAGCTTAGATCTGACCTTAATATCCTTCCAATGCTGCACCCTAGGCAGCCGAGACCAATGGATTGGAGTTGGCATGCGGGATGACACCTCCTTGCCATCCGTGTAGCAGATGAAGAGATTTGCTCACCTGTTCCACCTGCCTTCCCTAAGAAAGGACCCAGGGGTGTGTGAAGGTCTCAGCACACAAAATGCCCCAAGCTACCCTCCCAGATCAGACTTACCACCTAAGGAGCCCCGAGGGGAGCCATGTGTGTCCTCTGTCCTGAAGCACCTGTCTAGAAAGGACATGTCTCTAGGGGCAGGGGACTGATGAGGAAGGAGAGGGCCTTACTCTGCCACACACTCCTCAGAATGCAGCTCTGGACCATCAGTCTTCTGCAGACACAAGGACAGCCCTGGATCATACCCTCTGCCTCTTTGGAAGATCTATGGTCTCTAGGAGAAGATATATGGTCTTAACCCTTTGGTCTCCAGAGGGGATTTAGGCTCCCATCCATCTCTCTGCTTCTCCCCTTCTCCCTTCCCCCTCCCTTCCTGAGGCAGTTGCTTCATGCCAAGCATTGGGCCAGTACTTCGGAAATAGCTGAGTATCCCCCAGGGCTGCCTCCAGTGAGTCATACTCAGTACGAAGGGGGAGAGAGAAGAAAAAAGGAATAACGGAGTCTCTGCTGACCAGCGGCCTGGCAGGAGTGTGTCAGGAGGTCAGGCCAGGGAAGGCTTGCAAGGAACGGGCCAGTGGTCGTGAGTGGGATAAGGGTTGCCAGGCAGGAGGGGGTGAGCTTGTAGAGATTGCTGTAGGCAGGACTGAGGTAAGTAAAGTAAAAGCTGGGTAGCCCTTGGTGAGTTTGGAGAAATGCGATGGGGGTGCTTGAAGTGGGGCTAACGAAGTGGGACCTCATCTCAGTATGGAAGGGCGGCCTCCCTCCCAGCTAGGCAGCTGCCTCAGAAAGCCCATTCTGGCTTCCTCGGAGAAAAATGGGTCAGAACTGACAAGCCTGTTACTAGGAGAGCAGTTAAGCCACTCCTGGTGAAATGGGGTGTGGCTCAGACAATAGAGTGCCTGCCTAGCAAGTCCCAAGTCCCAAGTTTGATCCCACACACTATAGGAGCTGCCTGGTGGTACCCACTTTTAATTCCAGAACTCGGGAGATAGAGGCAATAGGGCCAGACGTTCAAGGTCCTCATCGGCCTCATAGTGAGGTGGAAGCCAGCCTGGGCTACAAGAGACTGTGCCTTGAAGGAAAACTTAGAGCTGGGTGCTGGTGCATACCCAGCTCTCCAGCATTCTTTGGAAGGCTGACACAAGCAGATATCCATAAGTGCTAAAGCAGCCTTGACTACATCACAGTGACTTCTAGGACACCAGGGCCACACAGTGAGTCCCTGTCTCAAAAACAACAACAAAAACCATAGTTCTTAGAAAAGTCTTGATGAGCCGGGCGGTGGTGGCACATGCCTTTAATCCTAGCACTTAGGAGGCAGAGGCAGGCGGATTTCTGAGTTTGAGGCCAGCCTGGTCTACAGAGTGAGTTCCAGGACAGCCAGGGCTACACAGAGAAGCCCTGTCTCAAAAACCCAAGAAAAAAAAAAAAAAAAAAAAAAAGAAAAGTCTTGATGAGAAGAAGGCAGGGAGAATGTGGCTGGGGGAAAGCGCAGACATTATTGATCTAAGAGACTGAAGCCAAGAGGGTGGAGATGTTTAGGGACCCCACATTTCAGGATGGATAGCTGGGTGCTGGAAGTTAATCAGTCAGCGTGTGGAACACAGGCAGACACTGTGTGTGTGTAGGATGGGAGTGAGGAGATTGGTTCAGTTGATGCTGGAGTGGCTTTAGAACCCTGGCAGAGCCTGGATGGACCCAGGTGAGTTGAGCTGGTGATGGCTGAGCAGGGACCTTTGGTGGCAGCAGAGAGGAAGCCTGAGGAAGGCTCCGAGGGAGGTACAGGGGAAAGAGTCTGACTCATTTAATAGTAATACCACATTCAGATATGACTGAAACTCTCTGTGGGGAAACTGTGAGGGTGAGCACAGAGTGGCGGCCTCCTCCTCTGAGCCCACAGGCAGTGGGTGACACATGGGCTCCCAGGTGCTCTTCTCCAGGGATCAGTGCCACATGTGTCTGAGGAAGGCCTGTCTGACAAGAGGCAGCCTGAGATGGAGAAAGGTTGAAGGAAATCTGTCCTCTTTAATTTTCTCTGAAGTGGGGGCAGGTAGGGCTTGACAACGTCCACGTGAATGTCCAGGAACAGCCTCAGGCCTGGAGCTGGGCAAGGCTTTCGGCAGCATGGAACATTCCCTCTTGCTTCAGCTCACTGAGCTTCACCTTGCCCACTATTCAGGAGGGTGCCCTCTTCCTGCTGGCCTTCTTGAGCTTTTCTTTCCCTGCATCCCCTTTACCTGGCCTCCTGAGATAGGCCTGGACCAGCACTGCCGGAGGATGGGGTGCCCAGTAGGTGCCATTCCCGATGGCCCATCCACCTCAGCATAGATATTGCTAGGAGCGTCTCCAGGGCTGCCCCGCCCCATGGCATAGAAGGCTATGGGTTCATCAGGCTCCTGGTAGACGGGGTTAATGGGTAGGGCCTGATGAGGACGTGCAGTAGGACTTGTATAGACTTCAAGAGGAAGCTGAGGCTTGGCAGGGATGGGGGGCCTGGGTCTGGATGCCTGGGAAGTCTAAGAAAAAAAGGCAAGGCCAAGGAAGAGAATTAATGAGAACCATGGAGACAGGGTCTAAGCTCAGGCCTATCTCAGCCTGAGCCTCTACTCATGAAAGCCCTTCTTTCCTGGTCTTTCCCTCTGTCTTGTGTCCCGTCTCCAGGACCTGACACTACCCTACCCCCATCCCCCAGCTGACTTGACCAATACAGTACCTCCTTCTGTTGGGAGGCCCACACTTTCTCTTTGTGTCCTGGGGCCTGGGCCTGTCCCTGTTGTATGAGGCTATGCTGGGTGTCTGGGTCCTGTCTTTTGGTTCCAGAGTCTGCTTCAGCCCTTAGGGAAAGTCCAGCAGGCTCAGCTGTCTGCAGGAAAAGAAAGAGGTCTGAAGGGTTGGGGATGGGTGGGGGTATTAGGTGATCCAGGAAAAGCAATTAGGTCTGAGAGGATGGGAGAGACAGGGAGAAGTGTGCCGGGTTCTCTGTGTGAGAGGGGTGGGGGTGGAGGTGTTGAGGAGGCCTGGGGACTGTGGGCAGAAATGAACACTGTTCACAGGTGTGTCTAACAATGAATTATCTGGAATTCAGGGCCAAGTCAGTCTCATTTGTATTTACAGTTGCAAACCTAGGAGGCTTTAGGCTTTGTGAGTCTTTGCCTTTAAAGCAATCAGTCTGGGGACCAACCTCCATGACTGCTGGGCCTTATTTCTTCAGGCTCAAGAAGCTTAATATATGAAGATAGAAGCTACATGTTTAGGGGCAGAGACCACCTCAGGAGTGACGAATTTCCCCTTCTAACTACCCTGTGGTAGTTATGTTTTTAGCTTAGCATTAAGGCTAGCCTTGAGCAGGGTCCCAGATGCTCTCTGCTTCCAGAGGCCTACAATCCACTCAAGGTTTCCCCGATCCAAGCGAGAATTCTTTCTCCTGTGTCCGCCCTGTACTTCTCCATATCGTCTTGAGAAAGTAGTAGGCTCACCCTGCTGCCCAAACAACAGGAAGGTCAGCTTCACTCTCCTCTGTCAAACCTGTTGCAAGCTGTGCTCCGTCCAGTGTCTCACATCTTCCCTGAGCCCACGCGCAGTCCACACCACCGTTCAGGTGCACGCACCTCCCCACGGGTTCTCACTCTCACCATTCGGCAGCCTCTTTGACCTGTCTCTCTAGTTCATGCCAGGGTTTCCTGCTCTAGAAGAATCCAGACCTTCAAGCTTGATTGTGCTGGGCCTAGTTCCCATTCTGACCTTTGTTCTAGACTAGATCCAGCCCTGTGGATTCCAGTTGCCTTTCCCCATTTTCTCCTGTGGATCTGGGGGCTGAAACTGTAGCCTGGAGCTAGACATGGCCCTCCAGCTACTTCTGAGGTCCCAGATTCCTACTTGACAGACTACAATCGTCTCCACACCTGGCTCAGACAGGCTCCTTCTCTAGTCTTCCCGGTCTTCATTTGTTCTGCAAAGACCCTATCAGCTCCACATTCTAAACAGCCAGCAGGCCCTCTCTTACTCCTTCAACCTCCCCTGTGCTAGCCAGCCCCATCAACTTGTGCAACACTGACGCAGCCGCAGTCTCCATCTCCAGCGGCCTTGTTTCATCCTAGCTGGCCCCATCACCCACTGAAACACTGTAGCCGTCTTCACCTCCTGTGGTCTTGTCTGGCCCTTTCTAACTCCCCAATGTAATCAAGTCTTACTCAGAATAAAACCTTAGAGGCTTGTGAGAGCCACAGGGCCCCCTTACGTCACCCTTCTGACCTCACTTCCGACCTCTCCATCCATCACTCATCCTGATCTTCACTTTTGCTCACAGAGAGGCTGCTTCCTCACTGCTCAGTCTTCAGGCACATCAAACATCCTCCCTCTTCAGGGCCTTTGCCCGGCTGTTACTTCCTCCCTGAATGCTTTCCCTCCAGCTGCCTGCACAGCTCCCTCTTACACCATTTAGGCCTCTGTTCAGATGCCCCCATCTTCTCTGCTGTGCCTGTGTGACATACTGCCTACCCTGTTGCTCTCCATCTCTGCTTGGCTTTCTTCCTAGCACTCATCCTTTCTGTTATCAGTGGGTTCTTTGTATCATTTACGGCATCTGCCTTGTCCTAAAATAGATGCCTCATGAAGGCCAGGAGCTAGATAGATATAATTTGTCACTGTTTATTTCCTTGGTGTTTAACCTCTCTCTCAACACACAGTGGTCTGAAGCGCCTGCACTTTTTGAAGGTGAGGGCTCCCTGACAACTTCCGACAAGCTAAGTGGCATCCACCACAGCCACCACACACGATGCCACCACCGGATTGTCTGTCATTGCTACTGTAATAGGGTTTGTGAGTGGTATACCCATCTGTCTTGGCCACAGGTCTATTTACAGGACCTCTCTCCCTCTCATCCCTGTTCTGGAGACTCAGTTAACTTCACTTAATTTAACTTGACTGCCTCTCTGCCTCTCCTTACCCTGCTGTTTGTGGCTGGTCTGGTCGTGAAAGCACACCTTTCTGGAAGAGGTGTGGGTAAGCCACTGTGGCTGGTTATGGATTGGGATGAGAAAGGCAGAGAGAGACCAGTGACCTGGTGTGGATGCTGGGGGTGGGTGGCGGTGGCGACATTCAGTTATGGGATTTGGGTAAGGGCTCACCTGGCGAGCAAGGGGTTGGGTGAGCATCTCCCCGTACGGGCTGAGGGGGTTCTCCGTGTAGTGTTGAAGCAGGTCCTGAAGCTGCGCGTGGGCACTGTCTTCACCCAGCACTACATGGCGCCCATCCCCTAGCTGAGCAAGGAGGAAGTGACGGCAGCAGGTCCGGCTCCTGGAGGGGCCACTTTGAGTCAGACTTGCCATTTCTTCCCCCACCAGGCTAAGGGAAGGACCCTGAGCCCTCCTTCTAGAGAGCGGGTCAGCACAGGGGCTTGCCCCTTAGTTAGCAGGAAGCCCCGCCCCCAGTTGGTCAACGAAGACCGCCCCTCACCTGTAAGACAGCACGAAGGTCACAGCGCTCTCGCTGAAGCGCACCAGATAGCATCCTAGAGGCAGGGGCTGCAGCAGCCTCTCGGCTTCCCTGGAGAGAAGTGTGGGGCCGGATCTGATTCTTGAGACCTCACTTCTGTCTCCTCTCTTAAGGGACACCTCACCTCCACCCCAAGCAAGCATACCAAGACTAAGAGGAGATGGGGGGACAGGGATCCTGCTCAAAAGACCCTGGGCTTCATCTACTGGGTAGCATGGAGGGGGAGTCGCAGCAGCAACAGACATAGTAGTTACAGTAATAGAGGTTAGAAGTCGAAAGCTGGAGATAATGAAAGAGGATTGAGAAATGGAAAATCTGCAGGGCGGTGGTGGCGCACGCCTTTAATCCCAGCACTTGGGAGGCAGAGGCAAGTGGATTTCTGAGTTCGAGAGTTCGAGGCTAGCCTGGTCTACAGAGTGAGTTCCAGGACAGCCAGGGCTACACAGAGAAACCCTGTCTCGAAAAACAACAACAACAACAACAACAGAGAGAGAGAGAGAGAGAGAGAGAGAGAGAGAGAGAGAGAGAGAGAGAGAGAGAGAGAGA